CTGAGGGAGTTGGTTGTGCCATAGCCTCTGAAGGATTTTGTCGTGGATGGAGTTTAAACTCGTCATGTTCTATATACTTCGCCGAACTTTTCGCGATCTTTCAGGCTCTTAACTATATAAAAGGTTTAGCAGGAGGTAAGTACCTTATCTGCAGCGACTCTCTCAATGCCATATTGCCTATCAAACACAAGTACTCAACAGATCCTCTCCTCATAAAGACGTTGAGTCTCCACCATCAGTTGTATCAAGAAAATAAACACGTTACTTTCATCTGGAGCACAGGGCACTCTGGAATTCATGGAAATGAACTGGCCGATCAAACAGCACGCCAAGCAATTTTATTGGACGTAACAGGTGTACCACTTCGGCTAGAAGATGCTAAAGAAGCTATGAAGGAAAATGTCCTCCACTCATGGCAGGAAGAATGGAACCTCTCGAATAAATTTTTGAAGACGTTCAAGCCAAGCATGCTATTAGGTAATCCACCACCAAGATGTGAAACATGTAATAAATTGCTCTCATGGAAGCATATACTGTTTGAGTGTCCTTTATACCTAGCTGCTAGAACAACACACAACCTAGCTGTGGACTTAGAAAGTTGCTTTCTCACTACTGCCAATTTTGATTTTCTTAAATCTACCAAACTTTTTAGTAAAATATAGTGCAATTACGTAGGATCCTACTAAATACATATACGTAAACTGATGATCTATGATTGATTAAGAAGTACTAGCGTCGGATATGTAATTAAATGCTTGTGTATCCACGATCATGTATGCTTATTTTATTAGTGTCCTTGTCTGGACTAAGTTAATTATATGTCTGTGTATATGATATAATATGTGTGTGCGTATACATGTGTACATATTTTTTGTTCTTGTCTTTTTTTGTGTATTGAAATCTGAGCTACTTACCCCTGTGGTGAAAGTGGCAATTGACCGTATGGGCATTAGGGAAGCGGCTAATGGCCATAGTAGCCGATTGCCGCTGTGGGCAAAAAAAAACAAAATAATAATAATAATAATAATAATAATAATAATAATAATAATAATAATAATAATAATACTTACCAGTGGAAACATCTACTTTCATTAGGCTTCTGCCGCTCTTTGCAAACTACTATATCTTGGAAAAGTCTAACTCCACAATTATCCGCAAACACTCGCACTTTTAAAAAGTAACACAAAAAATACAGATTTAATGACAGATCTATCCAAAAATTTACTTCGGTCACGTGTACTTTGATACTACAGACTGTTAGAATTAGAAGACAAACATATCCTTGACTGGTTTCTTCTACCTAGTTTGAATTCGGTGAGTACGAGTAATATATTACGACTACACAGGCTTGGCCTGTTGGAATATAATTTTACTAATTAGCCAATGCAGATGGTTATTACGAATAATTTAATTTAAACATCGCGGAAACCTCGTTTTCATTTTGTCTGCGTAAGCACTCATCGTGCAATGGATATTTCAATTTTGTGGGGCACTGGTAATATGGCAAAGTCTCTAAACGTACCAAATATAACTGTATGCATAATTAATGTCATTCAACCCAGCGAAGAGCTGGAGAAGCGGAACATTTTACGATTAAAAAGGTTCATACAAAATACAAGTAAGGTGGAAAATAATTACGCTAAGAGTGAAGTAAAGAAAATATATTGAGGAGACTGGAAAATGGAAAGAAGATGTTTGACGAGGAGATCCTTGTTCACTTGACACAATAAGAAAAATCAATGACCCACCATAAACTGAACTAATAACTTACAAAACGCAAGAGAAATATATGAAGAACCCCGCACAAAACATATGGAAAATTGGTCCCACCCAATTTGTCTAAAAATTCAGTATGATGTATTTCTCATCTTCCTGATCAAATATTCTTATTGAACCAAAGAAATCCTATGATCTGTTTCTGAGAAATAGGGAGATAAAATATGACCGATTTTCGATTTTTTCACTTATTCATGCTAGTTGCATGGAGTTGTTTGAAATCGAATTATCGAAATTGAGGGAAAATAAAGAAGTATCAGCTGTTTCCACCTCTGGTAAGAGGAAGAGGAATAATGGAGCATGAGAGAAAAGAATGAAGCATTTATTTTATACCTGCACTTGGGTCAATGTAGACATATACCTTCTTATCCATTTTCTTTTTTTTTTTCAACTGTGAAAATGATCGCTCTCCACTATAGTTTGTTACAACTTGAAAAAGAAATATAACTTATACATTCGGGAATGTTTCTCCTAATCTGTTCACTTCACGCCAGATGAGGCACCAAGGCGTTCATTTTTCGTATATCTCAGTTGTTGTTTGTTAAACATACTCGATGTTCCGGATCGCTCCTCTAAGAAATCGTATCCAGGAATAACAATACACAGATTTCTTCGGCGGTTAATGTAAACACCATTTTCATTCGATAAACTCATCATTCGTCAGTTTGAGTGTGTATACTTCTATTGAAATTGTTTTACCGCGTAGTAGCAAAGGTGTATAAAATAGTATCTCAAATTCGTTAAAGAATAACGCCCAATGCTTTTTATATGTTCTTCAGGCTGACATGAGAATTGATATCATCCATTTCTAGACACTTATTGCGGTTTCAATCCCCTGCCAGACACCCCTAAAAATTTAGAAATTAGAGTTAACTTTCGTCATAGTATAAAGCTGAAATTTATACAGGGTGACTTTGAAGTTGAGTCATTAATTTTCAGATAATGATTGTAGAAGGAAGATAAACCAAAATATGTGTGTAAAAATAAAAAAAATAAAAAATGTTACCTTGTTTAATAAAGTATCCTCCCGACAAGTATTTCAGTGCGGACCTGTATTTGATCGTGCGGTCTTGGAGCACCGGCATGCAATCACCTGTGAGGTCTTAAGTCACCTGATTCACGAACCCTTTGTACTACATTAACAAAGGCACGAGGGGTTGGTTGCACTCGATTGGGAAACCGATTCGCATAAATCCGTGATGCATCCGGCAGCATTTTGTAAAGACTGCCCCCCCGTAAATAAGAATCATGTCCACAAGTTCAGCATTTTCGTAAACATGTGCCATTTTTCATTTCGTTTGAGTCACGCAACAAACACCACTATTCACTCACGTGTTACCGACTGACGAAAAACATCGTGATAAACGTTTCAAATTCTTTCGTTTTTTTGTTTCCGATGCGATGAACCGATATCCGTTGTTGCCAAACACGAGCACATAATATTATTATTGAGACAGGGCGGTACTCAAACTTCTAAAGGGCTATAACTTTGTTACTTTAATTTTACCAGAAAAATGTTAAAGGAAAAAAACATTTCTTTTGATCAGATCTACTCACTGTTAAAATAAATGACTTAACTTCGAAGTCACCCTGTTTATGTTACTTGGGACACTGGGTATCATTTAATAGTGCCCCAAGTAACATATATAAATTTCATCTTTTATTCTATGACAAACCTCTAACTCTAATTTCTTAAAGTTTAGGGGTGTCTGACAAGTAGTTGAAACTGTAATGATTGTCTGGCAATGGATGACGTCATTTAAAATATTCTGAAGAAAATATCATAAAACTGTGCTTTATACTTCTAAGTTACTATTTTGTGTACATTTGCTTTCTCGCAACTGCTATCCAAATTTCACAGTCGCTGATCGTTCTTTCTGGTTTTGGGGACATGCAACAGAGAAACTTTCAGCTTTTATAAAATAACGAAGTTCTGACGGTCGAGGACTCTCTGTCTTAGGGATAGCCACAACTTTTGTTTTAGAATAAAGATAGAATCCAAATATCGCGTACTTCTTTTATTAAAATTTCATCACATTGACCGACGGGGCATTGTATCGGAATGATATGAGAACGAATTTCTCTATTGACAACTTTTAACTATTTACTACAGTTACGAAGAAAAAACTAGGCACTATAATGCATTTGAGTAGCTATATTCGGGAAGCTATTCAAATGTGTTCCAGAGTAGGCAGGCTTTTGGGGCTTTCAGGGGCGGGCATTTATATCTCAAGTTTTCATATTTAGCTCCCAGCTTTCCTTAATAAATGACGATAAAAGAACTCCATATATTTTATTTCATTCTAAAGATATAAAAACAAACCAGTCGCTTATAACAGGTCTGTAGATTAAGTGATGAGACTGGCAACGCAGCGTTCGATCTGGCAACACTGGAGGCGCCGAGCTTGGAGGAGAGACAGGGGAGCATGTGATTCTGCGTCAGTACAAATTTGAACTCGCTCGAGTCATTTGGTAGTGCGTAGCGTTTTTTTTTTTTGTAAAAAAGTTTCTTATTGTGTTCTAAGAATGAGTGACATCAATTTCGGACAACCGTGTTCTATCAGGTTTGCTTCAGACTTAGACACAGTGCAACGGAAACTCTTGCTAAAATTTGTCAAAGCCCAGGTTTTTCGGTGGTTTAAGGCATTTTCAGGTGACAGAGTCGATTACAGATAAGCCACGAAGCGGTAGGCATTTATCTTCAAGAACCGATGAAAATATCGACAGAATCCGGGATCTTGTGCGTTCAGATAGTCGGTTGATGCTCAGAATGATCGGCGAAGAGTTAAATTTGACTCAAACTACCGTTTATCAGATACACACGATAATGCTTCTTGTCACAGTGTCAATAAAAGCGTTTTTGGTCAGTAAACACATTCCTGTGGCTCCTCAGCCTTCTTATTCACCTGACTTGAGTCTTTGTAACTTTTTTCTCTTTCCAAAGTTGAAAAATCACCTCAACGGGCAATAGAAAATATTCAAACGGCTGTAACCGGCCAGCTGAAGTCTATTTCAGTATCGGAGTTCCAGCACTGATATATATGTAAGTTATTTTGAGGATAACAATATAAAATTGTAATTATATTTGAATAAAATAAAATGAAAAAGCAGGCTCATCTCTTAATTTACAGACCTCGTATATTGACCACCCTGTATTTAGGAGCAACACAGGCGACCTAATTTCTCCATCAGCTAGACATGTAACACACTAATTTGTATTCTAGGTAGACAAAGAGCAAGCTCGACTGCAAGGCAACATAAAAGCAATCAACACGACCCTGCTCATCCTAGGCAGCTGTTTTGTGGGCTGGCTGCCTGGACTGATGTTCTTCATCATGCTTTGCACAGACTGTCCGATCAACGGCGATGCCCTTAAGACGCTTAACAAGGATTACAAGTACGAAGTGATAATTGCACGACTTGTGGAGAATATGCTAATTATTTTGAAGATGTTCGCTAATCCCATAATTTACACCATCAGGATTAAGGAGATTAAAGTGAGTTCTGCTAACAGCACTAGTTTCTTAACGTTGGTAGTTAGAATGTTGACTATAGAAATTCGTTTAACTTGATTCGACTTCGACCGTATACTTTGTAAAGTCCACATCATCCATAATACCATGGAATCGGCATCCGTTTGTTCAACTTTTCGGCAAGACAAACATAGTAGTTATACATCATGTCAGTATAAAAAAATTGTAGGCAAATATAATTGTAAAAGTGTAACATATAATTGGTAAAATATACATCAGCTGAACAATCTGCTAACAAATAACATAGAGTAGCGAGTAAATTGTCAGGTCTCAAATACCAATTGTTCTACGGCCAGCGATTAAATATATCAGTTGAGAGGGCATGTGTGCAATCTGTCTATCTGACACACTGACCTTGACTTCTAATGACCTTGGATTGGATTATGTCGTCTACACATATTCGTCCTTGAGACATTAGTCACTTTACATGAATTATAGTTTATATCATCAAGGATTCATAGTACTATTGATCGTCATGCTGTTATTGAAACCAGCATTAGTGAGGATACAAAAAATTACAAAATTCAGTATCTAGGCCCGCATCTTCTGTATATACAAGGTGGCGCATCGAAAACGAAACAGACGCATTTACTGGCAGCACACTTTTTTCATTTTTTGAAAAACGCTCAGACCCGTCGATTTTGTTTTCCAGGGGGACACAAGTTTGGCAAAAAATCACGTTAGCACGTGCAGCCCCCTAAGCGGGGGTGACACCACCCCCAAAATCTTAAATGGAAAGGGGGGTCGAGTGATACTTTATTTTAAAGGTCTTTCAATTCCCTTTATAATGATATAAAATTAATGTACTTCGGTTCAGTAGTGGAGATCAATACATTTGGCAGCAAAGTAATTTAAAAATGAAGAATGAACTGACCCGTTAGGCAAGTCATTCACAATTCTTTGTCGCAGGTGTTCTAGTGATGTTGGCTGAGTAGCATAGATTTTGCTTTTTAAATGACCCCACATAAAGAAATCCAACGGTGATAAATCTGGCGATCTTGGGGGACATTCAATGGCACCTCTTCTACCAATCCATCGATACGGAAACGTCTAATCAAAATATTGTCGAACACGTAATGCGTAATGTGGTGGGGCACCATCCTGTTGGAACATCAACCTATTCGCAATGTACCGCCGATCATTCTGATTTTCAATTATGGCTGTTAATGCAGGATCTATGGCGTCTTCCAGTAATTCCAAATACATTTCACCGGTCAAATTTCCAGGTAAGAAAAAAGGACCAACTAAATGATCGCCAAAAAAACCAGCCCAAACATTTAATTTTTGTGGCTGCTGTGTATGAACCTCATGATAAATTCTGGGATTAGAATCGGACCAATATCGGCAGTTATGATGATTTACTACGCCATTTAAGAGAAAGGAACATTCGTCGGAAAAGCAAGTGTTGAATAGAAAATGTTCATCATTTATAATTCGTTCACTCATATCTACACAAAATTGTAATCGCCGATCAAAATCGTCTTCATTAAGTTCTTGTACCAGGTGAATTTTATACGGATGAAAACTATGGGCCTTTAGAATCCGTTGGACAGTACGTCGACTAACACCACACACAGTCTCCAATTTCCGGGTACTTAATGTAGGATCTCCATAAACTTGCCCTAAACCCCCACTTCTATTGCTTCGTTCCTTATGTTATTTTCAATGTTGCGTTTTTTATTGGCGACTGACCCAGTTTCCCGAAATTTAGCTACAAGTTCTAGAACATACTTTCGATGCACGTTACTGTTCTCATGTCGCTCATTAAATATTTCTGCTGTTCTATTAGCGCACTGATTATTTCCGAAAAATATTTCGATAATTTCAACTCTTTCTGCTGTGGAATATACCATAGTTAATTTATATAATAAAGCGTTACAAGTTATTTTAGCAACAAAGTTTGGTCAAATCAATCGCTAACTATGTACTAAATTCCTATTTAAAATAAGTACGAGATATTTCTTTATTTTTCTTCAAGAAATAACTTTTTTGCCACAAAAAACGCTCCAATAGCTATTGTCAACAACAAAATAATAAACAAACCATGGGCGTAGTGAAGAAAAGCATTTACTTATTAAGTAAATTCTTTTAGTCAAATTTCTTCTGAAAGTAGTACAAACTAATATGATGTACCTATTAAAGTCTACTTTAAGCTTTAAATCAATAAATCTTCAAAACTACTGAACTGAAGCTCATGTACTTTACATCATTATAAAGGGAATTGAAAGACCCTTAAAATAAGGTATCACTCGACTCCCCTTTCCATTTAAGATTTTAGGGTTGGTGTCACCCCCGCCCAGGGGGCTGCACGTGTTAACGTGATTTTTTGCCAAACTTGTGTCCCCCTCGAAAACAAAATCGACGGGTCTGAGCGTTTTTCCAAAAAAAAACTGAGCTGCCAGTAAATGCGTTTGTTTCGTTTTCGATGCGCCACCCTGTATATATACGAGCCCCTTCCCACTTCAGTTGGCCCACTTCAAGATTTGTACCAAAATATGCCTTTATAAACTAAACATGACGAAACTATTTACTTCTAAAACAATTTATTTTCTCAAAAACATTTTAGATACACTCTAGTCGTAAAAAATACATATTTGAAATCACTTAGACCAATAACTAATACAACATCTGAACAAATAAACAATGTGCGAATAAATGCGCGAAGTTAACAAAGCAACAATTGAAAGATTACCATTGGGTAAAATCACCTTTATTTTTTATTACGGCTGAAATTCTTTGGGGCATAGTGTTAACCAAGCTTTGGCAAAAATTTGGTGTAAAACAATCCCATATTTCTTGAAGTTTTTGTCTCAGTTCGGTGATTGTACGAGCAGGATGTTGTCGTAGAACCTTTTTCATCTCGTGCCACAAAGTTTCAATAGGTGACAGATCTGTACTGCTAGAAACCCATTTCAAAAATGGTACATTATTTTCTTCCATTGATTTTATAGCCTTTTTTGAGGTATGGCACGCTGCGCCATCTTGCTGAAACACAAAATCTTGGCCGGATGTCAAACATTCTTCCATCACTGGTAAAAGCGATTCTTCTAAAATTGCCAAATATTTGTTTGTATCCACATTTCCATCAATAAAATGAAGTTTTCCTACTCCTTTTGATGACATACTGCCCCAGAACATAATGGATGCTGGAAATTTCACTTTTCTCTTCAGACAGTTAACATGGAATGCTACATTTTTTTGCGAATAACTCTACTGCGACTGTTACCAACACAAATCGAATGGGGCCTCATCACTTCATTGTATTGTACACCATTGTTAAGGTATCCATTGTCTATGTTCTTTAGCCCATCTAAGCCGATTTTTCTTTTGCAGTGGAGTTAATAGTGGCTGCTTTTCTTTGGCCTATAAACAAGTTGTGCAACTTTAGGGTTTTTACTTCACTTTTTTTTTATAAGAAAACTTATCTTGCAAGTGCTAAATCCCAGTTTGTGGGCCTCTCTATGAGTTGTGGACCTCGAAATTCTCCTTCCAACAGCGTCACTCCACAGAGCACTTAATTGTAAATAATTGGCACTCCTGTTTTTCACGATTATTCTTCTTAATGCTCTTCGGTCGGCATTTGTGATATTACTTTTTTTCACATATCGTGGCTTAATATTAACTGAACCAGTTACCTTATATCTTCTAACAATATTTCTCACACTGTACCGCGATAACTCAAACAAAGTTGCAATTTCAGAGTTTGATTTCCCAGAATTTAATTTTATCAGTAACCGAATTTTCTCACTAATAACCTTTCCTCTACCCATTTTGAAAACCTTAACTACCCAAAACTATTTTAAACGTATTCTGACAGCTGTGATTAATAAAAACATGTCATGGATTTTATTTTTCACAGCCACCTATGCGTTATAGACTTATTTTGCATTGAAATGAAAATAGGTTGATATGCTGTAATTGCAACATGTGTTATTTTTATGCTGCAAATTTGATTAGGGAGTGATAAAGTTGGTGTTTTCTACTATATATTATCAAAATATTCATTGTTAATATTTTAAACCTATAACACCTGCTACATTTTTATTATTTGTGTTTGATAAGAAAAAAACTAAGATATCAATAGTTGGGCCAACTGAAGTGGGAAGGGGCTCGTATATATATATATATATATATATATATATATATATATATATATATTATTCATAGTTAATTGCCTTAACTGTTGAAGAAATATCCTTGATTTTCTTTGGGTAGAAGGCAAAGTATTGCAAAAGTACACCCTTATAACTTAAACTCAAGCTTTCCAGGATCTAGGTCTTCATCGTCTGGAGTAAGTCGGCGAGATTGTTGCTGTAAATTGTTTTTAAACAACAGTGAAGGGAACACATAGTCGACGAACAAAAAACTGGACCGATGAGGTTCAATCAGGACGGAATTATTTTATTTCCAAAAATAAAAAAAAGCAAAAAAAATAGTCGGCCGGCACGTGTTGGATAATGTGGGGGTTATAAGTGGGAAGAAAATATGGAATCTCGAAGGAATTTTCAATAGTTGATAGTTTTAAAATTTTCAAATTTCTTCCAAATTCAATCAACGTTTAAGGAAAAAACCTTTCCAATAATAAGAAAACATCTATGATTTGCCATTTAATAATATCCTATCCTATCCTATTTTCTGTGCGAATCCATTTTTAGCGGATTTTGCCCACTATTTTTGTTATATACCTTTCACCGTATGATAATTTTCTCTTTGTAGATCCTTTGGGCTTGAAGTACCACAGCAAGTGGCTATAACCGGCCGCGTGATTGTGGTTATTTGTCTAGTCATACTTGTAATTGAGCGGATCTGTTTTGGCAGACCAAAGGGGAACTAACGCGCATACAAATGTTGATGTCTGGTAGCAACTGCATATAAAAAGTTCAGGCAATCGCCATTTACTGATGTCTCAATTCAATCTTATTTGCTGATTCACTTTCTTAAATTGTACACTATTGTCAATAAAA